TTTCAGTCTCTACAGGAGCAGATGATCTCGTCTCCTGCAGACAGTTGGTGAGTTTGAACCGCAGACCCTATGGTTAGCAGTCGAATGCTTACCCAACTACTTTTTTCCTAGGCTGCGCCATCAGGGAAGGAGCCCAGTGGCACGGTGATTCAAGTTCTTGGGTGCTAATTGAAAGGCCCAGGTTCAAACCTACAGGAGAAAAGTGTGCATCCTTGGAAACCCTACCAAACAGTTCTACTCTGCCTGACAGGATCACGATGAAGCAGAACGGATTCCACGGAAATGTGTTTAGTTCTGGTTTTATACAGTTTGTTGGTGAAAGAACTACTATAATTCAGGAGCTTTAATACCCAATCCAACTTGTATAACAAATCCCAATTCTAACCCAATCAGACCCTTCCAATTTCATCTAAAGTTAAATGTCTAATATCTAATGCTTATTAACAACCCATTAAATAAGAATGCCCTTTCTCACTTCCAAGTCGTTTCGCCTCCTCATCCTTACCCTATGGAGCCCTGGTGGTGCCGTGGTTACAAGTTGGGCTGCAGTCGCCATGGTGAGTGAGCAGTTTGAAACCTCAGCAGCTCTCCAGAAAAAGGCTGGGCTTTCTAGTCCTCAAACAACCAGTCTCAGAAACCCACAGGGGAAGCCATGAGCCAGCATTGACTCAGTGACGGAGGTCGTTGTTTTTTGTTCGTATGTACTGTATCTCCTAATGTGCACGTGCGTCTACTACTTCTACTGACCATTCATCGTCTAGATGTAGTCTGTTGGGATAATTTGTTTCAAAACACAATACTTGGGAAAATAGGTGGATTTTAATTTCAGCTGTTCTTCTTACTTCCGACATAACTTTGTGCAATGACTCTATTCCTGTTCTGTATCTCTGTTTCATGTGCAAACACAAAACCAAAAACAACAGCAGTCTTTCAATGCAGAGAGAAGGTAATTCAGAGTCATCAATTCTCAATTACGGTTTAATAAGGAAAAGGTGAATAGCAATATAATACACAGACAGAAGTCTGAAATCTACTCCTATTAATATTGTAATGACCATACAACATGTAGAGTATTTGTAAGTTTTCTTAAATGGTTTACTAACAATTTAAGAGAATAATGAAATTCTTACTGGTTTGTGCATTTACTTGTTTGTGATTTCACATGACGAGTCACACTATTGGCTGAAGTTGATTCCTTTAAACTTGCTAAACAAGTTAGATTCAACCTATCTGGGATTTCCTCCTTTGTCTTCATTTCCTTCATAGATCACACTTCATACACGAGAGTCATACATCTGAGTGAGACTCTCAGAGAAGTTTGAATAGTCAAAAAAAGGACCTCCTCCTTATTCAGGATTAAAATGTATAGGTAAGTGGTGGTTTTGCCTCTGTAGTTTTTTAAGTTTTGATATTTCTAAATCATGTGAAAAATAAACAGAAGCTTAAGGAAATAACAACTTTGTCTAGAAATCATCAACTCAATTATTTTCATGAAAACATTATCAAAGCTTTTACATATTGTTTAGCAAATATACTTGATATTTACATAATATATGTGGTTGTTTGTCTGTTTGTGTTAAATGAGTAAACCTAAAGAGACAGCTTAGCATTATGATCATGCATCTTTAAATAAGGAAGTGTTTTTACTTATTTTCTCACATTCAACTTTTCAAAAAGCAATGTGTGGATTTTAGTACAGTTTGAGAATTCTGTTTTGAATTTCATTACAGTATCTACTAGTTATTTTATATGCAGTGAATTCTGAAATTTTCTTTAATAAATACAGCATTAATCTATTTTTTAAATAGCTATGGTATTGTTTTTAAGTAAATTCTTACTAATGGAGAAGAAGCATTTGCCTGGTTTTCCATTCAGATAATGGATAATTATTTATATAATATTTCATTTAGAAAATACCCCAGCTGAGGCATAAGCTAGATAGAGTCAGATGGTCCAAGTTGAATTAAAATTATGAAAATAATTTCTATCATTTCATGTTTGCACTACCAAGGAACTCCAACAGATCCATTAAAATAAGTTAAAACCTATGAAGGAATCAATATAAACTCTGTATGGTTCTATATGAATAAAGAAAAGTCACAAAAGAGAGTTTAGCCATGAGCACTCAAATCGCAAAGTTATATATATTGAATAATCTAATAAGGATTATAAAACATTAGTTATATGCATTGTGTTAAAGTAACTTTCTACTCTATTGTTTTGTTAATTATAATATATTGTAAAATACAATAATCACACAGCCCAACAAAAGAATACTTTTCTTGGTGTCTTACTTTGTAGGCCTGTTCCTGGGTTATTCGGGGTGCTGATTCAGAAAACTTCATTGGCTAGACTACATCATCAGCTCTAGTTTCTTAGATATGGTGTTCCACTATATTTTTAGCTATTAAATTACATTAACTTATTAATTTATCATCCAACTTTCAAATATGAAAAAATTTAGACTCACAATTTACAGCAAAAACAAAAAAGTTTTAAAAAATTGGGTATTAAGAGACTTCCAAGGGAAACTGGAGAAGGACCCATGGTAGCTAGTTGGTTATGCATTGAGCTGCCAATCATAAGGGCCGTGGTCCAAATGCACCAGTCACTCTGCGGTCTTTAGAAGATGTGGAAACCAGAAAGGCTGTTCTTCTGTCTGATAAGGTCACGGTGAGCTAGAACCGATTAGGTGGCAGCGAGTATGTTTTAGGGGTTGAGGTCTGGGAGGCTGGGCAATGTATACGGAGACTACAAGCTAGATCGAGCAAAGCTAGAACACAGCTTGAAAAGAGTGGAAAATTTTAAAAAGAAAATCGAAAGGGTATGTGTATGGAAGGTGTGAGGGCAATTTAAAGTGCCAAAAATGTAAGACTTCATAGCATTTTCATAAACATTTTGAAGATCTAAAGTTTTGTTCTTCAAATTTTGCAGTAAATATTTCAGACCACTTGTTAATGTCCTAGGGATGAGAGGGACTCCAAGCTTTTTTATAAGAAACAGTCTGACTTCTCCTTAAGAGTCCTGTGCACAGGTGACGTTGTGCCATCTTATAACAAGACTGGAACATTTTAATTTTAACAAAGGAGTTTGAACTTTGGAAGACTGATTTTGGGTTTCAAAACATTTGAATCCCTAATTATTTTAACAAGCTTAGCCAGTCAGATAATTACAAATTCATTGCTTCGGAGGATAGAGTGGAACTTCTCCCATGGGTTTCCGAGGCTGTCAGTCTCTATAGGAGCAGGAAGTCTCATCTTTCTCTCTCAGAGAGAAAGGCTGGTAGGATTGAAGAGCTGACCTTTTGCTGAGCAGTCAAACACATAACCCACTATGCCATCAGGGCTCCTTATTTATTGTACAGTAACTTGGATCTCTGGCCCCTTTTAAAGAAAGCAAATTGGAGCTGCCTGTTATTCAGTTCCTAGTAAAGGTGAAGAGATACATGGGGGAAATTCCAAGTTCATGGTACGTGTACTGTTCAAAATTACATGAGGTATAACTTGACCTAATTATTTAGTACAACACAAACTACTTTAAATAAAACGTGTTTACTTTCTCTATCTCGGGCTAGCTAACACTACATTAAAATATCCTGATTGTTTTTTATGGGTGAGCAGATGGAAGAGTGGTATGTGCCACATGCTCTGTATCTCAAAAACTAGAGCTGGTGTCAATTTTTTTTTTTTTGGTTTCATTTGTTTTATTTTTCTTAAATTTTAATAAACAATTTTATTGGGGGCTCTTACAGTTCTTATAATAATCCACACATCAATTATATCAAGCACATTTGTACATATGTTGCCATCATCATTTCCCAAACATTTTCTTTCTGCTTAAGTCCTTGGTATCAGCTCCTCTTTTTTCCCCTACCTCCCACCCTCGTGAACTCTTGATAATTTATAAATTATTTTTATTTTCATAGTTTACACCATCCACTGTCTCCCTTCACCCACTTTTCTGTGTTCTTTTTTTTCTTTTCCTTTTTTGCTTCTGTATTCTTAAGGTTTAACTTTCTCAGAACAACTTTGCCTTATTTGCCTGGGTAAAGTCTCATTTTAAAAATTGTGGTAAAATATTTTTTTAAAGCTATTTATCATTTTAACCATTTGTGAATGTGGGATTTGGCAACATGAGTAGCAGTCACCATATTGTACCAAGAAGCCCTGGTGGCGGACTGGCTGCATATGGGGCGCTAAGGTCAAGTAGTCGTGTGAAACCACCAGCCTGCTCCAGGGGAGAGAGATGAGGCTTTCTACATCCAAAAGGTTGAGGTGACCCTCTCGGAACCGGAGAGGCAGGGGCAATTCTGTTCTGTCCTATAGGGTCCACTGTAAGTCGGAACCGATTCGAGGGCAGTGAGTGAGTGAGATATTGTACAACCATCACCACTGTCCATTTCCAAAAGTTCTCATCACCTGGTAGCCTAGTGGTGGGTGTGAGGCTGCAATCTTTTTTTTTTAATCAATTTTTGAATCAGCAGGTCAAATATACCCAGAAACAAACCCAATATTTGAGGTACCAAAATGTGTCTTGGCCAGTGAATCGGTTCCTTTTCTCTTGTTTTATGAATATAAAAATATAATGCTCACGAATTCTGTTCTTTGATGGACTAGTTGATTGGTGGGTTGCTTGATTTGTTTTTATCAGCAAGAGAAATCATGCTGAATTGATGGAACTTTGAAAATCACCTGCAGACCTTGATTCAACAATTTAAGGACCCCAGACTGGGAAATGAAGTATATTGTCAATCATAATATAGAATAACATTTCCTCTGGGAATAGGGAAACCAATGAAAACCAAGTGCATTACCTTCAAGATCCACAGCAGAACTGCCCGTTTCCGGTAACTCTTCAAGGCGTAGAATGGCTCATCTTTCTCCAATAATATAATCACTAGTCATTTCAAATCCTTGAACATGCCAGATTTTTCCAGGTTCACTGAGAGAATAACAATGTCCATTGTATTACATCGAAAAGTACTAGATGAAGTTTGCGAAATGGGGTAAAGATTTCTAAACTGTAATTCAGAATGTGGTTGAAAGAAATATTTAAGGTAAATCAGCATATCTCAAGAGACAAGTCTTAGCAGATCTCTTCCCATCCTAGCAATCTTCTTTCACATTTTGTTTCTTTAGTCCTTGCTCATGAAATAATTAGCTGAATACAGAGACATGCCAAAGCTAATTGACTTCTTGTCTCCCAACAGTACAAAATAATTTGAGACAAAAAGAAAACACCTCGCATCACAACTGTGAAATATGCATTCCAAATGCTGCTTGTTGTTTCATAAGCAGTTTTTAAACTATTATTATAACTTTCAAAATCCATGTGGGTCATCACCTTTTAAAAAATCCTGAAAGTTCTAAATCATGAGGGTAAATTAAATTTCTATTAATTTCTTAATAGAAATTAATCAGTAAATGCAAGGATGTTACTTTGAGGACTAAGGGGCACCTGAACCAAGCCATGGTATTCGCCATTGCCTCATATGCATGTGGAAGTTGGACACTGAACAAGGAAGAGCGTGCAGGAATGGATGCATTTCAATTGTGGGGCTGGGGAAGGACAGTGAAAGTGCATGGACTGCCCAGAGGACAAACGGAGCTGTCCTGGAAGAAGGGAGGCCAGAGGGCTCCTGACAGGCAAGGATGGGAAGACATCATCTTACATTCTTTGGCTATATTGTTAGGAGAGACTAGTTTTCCTGGAAAAGGATGTCATGTTTGATAAAGTGGAAAGGCAGTAAAAGAGGAAGGCCCTCAACAAGATCCATTGATGCAGTGGCCACCTCAGTGGGCGCAGGCATAGAAGCAATTGAGAGGTTGGCGAGGGCCGTGCAGTTTCTTTATGTCGTACACGTGGTCATTATGGGTTAGCGCTGACTTGAGGGCACCAAACAACAGCAACAACAACAACTACAATTTTATCTTCACAGTCCACAGCTCAAAATGTTCTTGCCTGCAAAATCCCTACACTAAATGCTGAAACAGTTGCTATTTTCAGCCAGAATATTTTTCTAAGGTTGGGATGTGAGTGGAGTAGGGGAAATGGAAGTATCCACCTGGGATCAGATATTTTCTGGGAAATTTTCTCTTATCTCCTGCGAGTTTATCCTCCCAATGGCACTCTTAGTCTATTCGCTCAGAAATGACAATATTTATCTGACACATGTCCTACTCCAGCCCCCAAACCAACACCGCTAAAAGTAGTTATGAGAGAGGAAGCTACGATTGACCCCCATAAGGGTCTTTAAATTCATCTGCTGCAAGTCCCTCAAAGCTATGGTTCCCATGGGAAGTGTCCCATTCTCTTGGTGGGGCAGGAGGTGGGGTGGGGGGGAAGGACTTGACATGACTACACAAGTTTTAAAAACCTAATATTACTATGTTCTCATTATATGTAAAAGAAATGTACCAACTTGTCTAATAGAATTAACTAGGTAAATGTCTAAAACAATTCAAAATAATTGACATAGGACAAACTCATACTGTTGAATAACTTATTAGGAAAAAATTGGCAATTTTTATAAAATACTGAATATTACACTCATTTGTAACATGGAAACAGAAACATGGAAAACTGTATCCAGTGATTAATAAAATGAGATGTGCGTTCACTCTTCAAGTAATTGGACAAAAAGGGCCATTGAAGGATTTTTCTAATTTAGAAAAGTGTTTATTCGGCTAGTCTTACTTGTTAGCCAGTACATCTGCCCGAGTTTATCATGGCAAGGCATGAATTAAAACATACCTCCTGCTTTCCTATCAGACTACTCCCATTAGCATAAAGATTCTTAAATAGCTCATCTTAAAAAATATCCCTCCTTTCACATCCTCTTTCTCTCTGTGGCCTCATTTTTCATTTCCCCTTAACAGCAAAAGTTTTAAAAAATTTATGTAGACTCACTGCCACCATTATTATGCTCTCTTTTTGTTTTATTTCTGTAATATTTTAAAATATTAATAATATCACATGTAAAGACTGCTAAATATTTTAACTAATTCTGCATGGCCCCCATCCATTAAGAACAATAACATTACCAAAACTTATGAGCGTCCACTGCGCTCCTCTACAATTGCATCCTGTCCACTCACGTCTCTTCCTCCCCGTTGTCAAAAAAAAATTTTTTTTCTGGCCATGGTCTCTTAATTCCTTTGTTTTTCTTCATCATTTTAACCATTTGTCTATAGATCCCTAGAGAATATATAGTTTAGCTCTACTTTATTTGAAATTCATGTAAATAGATCAAAAGTAATGTGTATGAGATGTGTCAAAACATAAACAACCCTCACTGCCATTGAGTCAATGGGTTTGAGTTCCATTGAGTCAATGGAACTGCCCCGTGGGTTTGAGACTGTCCCTCTTCGCGGGAGTGGAAAGCTTCATCGTCCTCCTGAAGAGCAACTTGGGGTCTCGAGCAGCTGACCCGTATTTAGCAGCCCAGTGTGTAAACTCACTGCCACTAGGGCTCGCGACGAAGGGTGTAGTAATAGTTTATTAGTGTTCACAATATATAGTCCACACTAATATATATGCGGATAGAGATATATATATAAGGGAAATATAAGTCTATTCCTCTGCAGAAATATGGTATGGTAGTTAGGTGCCATCGAGTCAGTTCTGACCCATAGCACAACCGAACGAAACACTGACGAACGAAACACTGACGGGTCCTGCACCATCCTTACAAGTGTTCTTATGCCTGAGCCCATTGTTGCAGCCACTGCAACTTATTATATATTCACTCCTCTGGGGTTTTAGCATTACAAATAATACTTGAACTTTTTAATAGGTCTGCTAGTACAAAAGAAAATTCCTAGGAATGTATTTTCTAGATGATCTCAATAGCACATGTTTATCTTGACCACCAATAAAACCCAAATTCACTCCCGTTGAGTTGATACCAATTTATAGTGACCCTATGGGACAGGGTAGAACTGCCCCCATGGGTTTCCAAGACTGAAAGCCCCATCTTTCTCTTGGGGCTGGCAGGAGGTTTCAACTACTAAACTTGCAGTTAGTAGCCCAATGCAAAGCCACCAGGCCTCTCTTACTTAAATAGGTTTTCATGCCTACTGCTCTTTAAAATATCTATTGTCCAGCCCATCGACCACTGCACACACTGCAAACTTCAATGGTCAGGTCTCCTTGCTGATTTCACTTAATCATTTCACTGGAGACCACTCTTGTCTTAAAGTCTCTCTCCTTCACAGAGCATTTCTCCCACAAACTGTCTTCTTAGCCCCCTGGCCAAATGTTCTTAGTTCCAGCTATTGAATTTTTCTCATGTTCCCTCCCTTCTACAGTTCGAGAGTTCTGAAACCCTCCTTAAGCCTCTTGTAACCTCTTCTCTGCAATAGTTTCTCCTATTTCCTGTGTGATTCATTTAACTCCAGGATTTTTAATAAGCTGTTGGATCTTGATTGTTCACACATAACTATTTGCGTATTTCCTCTTTGATCTTTCACAAGTCAAACTTTACTCTTTATTTTCTCTCAAATCCTGATTTTCTTGTTTTCCAAAACCATTTTGTTGGGAGCTAACACAGATATCATATCATTTCATAGTTCAATCACGTCAAGCAGTATTGTACAATTTCTACTACAATCAGTTCTCAAACACTTATGCCTCTTCAACAACTTGATATCAGTTCCCCTTTACATGCACCTCCCACATGGGTACCTCTCAGGAACCCATATAGTACTTGTCTCTGTAGGTGCATCAATCCCAGGTTTCATATACCAAAAAAACATATAACAAAAATTCAAGAGGACTACCCACAATGACAAACATAAATAAATAAAAAAGAGGAAAATATTCTTTTTATTTTTTAATCATTTTATTAGGGGCTCATACAACTCTTATCACAATCCATACATACATCAATTGTGTAAAGCGCATTTGTACATTCATTG